GGGGGGGTCACCTGGACACGCGGACACGGGGAGGGGACACGGGGAGGGGACACGGGGAGGGGACAGGGACACGCGTGTGCACACGGACACGGGGGGGGGCGTGGGGACCCCCCCTCAGCCGGAATTAAAGGGATCCTTTCCCCCCCCGCCTCCTCCTTGGGCCGCGCCGGGGTGGGGAGGGGGGTGGGGTCCCCTTTTTGGGGGCTGGGGGGGGCTCCAGGACCCCCTTTAGGTACCGGGGGGGCTCCAGGACCCCCTTTAGGTACCGGGGGGGGGCTCCAGGACCCCCTTTAGGTACCGGGGGGGCTCCAGGACCCCCTTTGGGTACCGGGGGGGCTCCAGGACCCCCTTTGGGTACCGGGGGTCGCCCCCATGCCCGGGTTTAGACCCCCTTTGGGTCCCCACCCCACCCCCCCCCAGTGCCCGGAGCGTGGCCGTGGTGGCGGCGGCGTTTATTAATTAACTCATTAATTAATTAATTGCTCGTTAGCGGCGGCGAGGGGGGGACACATGCGGGGGGAGGGGGAGGAGCTCTGCCAGCGGTGACCGAGGGGGGGACACGGGGGGGACACGGGGGGGACACGGGGGTCTGGGGGCGGGCATGGAGCCGGGGCTGGAGCCGGAGGGGCCGGAGCCGGAAGGGGGGGTCTGGGCATTCCCGAACATTCCTGAGCATTCCCGAACATTCCTGGGGTCCGGGGCATTCCCGGGATGCCGGAGGATGCTGGAGGATCCAAGATCCCGGAGGATCCCCGAGGCGCGAGGGATCCAGGATGTCGGGAAGCTCCGGGAACGGCGGATCCGGGATCCCGGGAAATTCCCGAGGCTGGATCCGGGATCCCGGGAAATTCCCGAGGCTGGATCCGGGATCCCGGGAAATTCCCAAAACTGGATCCGGGATCCCGGGAAATTCCCAAAACTGGATCCGGGATCCCGGCGGATTCCCGAGGCGTGATGGATCCAGGATGCCGTGGGAAGCTCCCGGAGGATTCCCGGAACACCCCTGGGGTTGGGATCCTGCGGGATTCCCGAGGCTGGAGGGATCCGGGATGCTCCGGGAACAGCGCGGGGGGGTCCCCAAGGCACGCGGGGGCCGGAGGGTGCCCCAAACATTCCGGGATTCCCGAGGGTGCCCCAAACATCCCGGGATTCCCGAGGGTGCCCCAAACATCCCGGGATTCCCGAGGCTCCCTGGAGCCGGGATGTTGGAGCATTCCCGAGCATTCCC